AGTTTTTTTTCTTCACTCTCTTGCTTTCCAGCAGATCCACTAAAATTGAAAAATTGTAAATTTGTAAATTTCCAAAGATTTCTCCAAAATTCATCACACGGATCATGCAAATATATTATCATTCCAATAATTCTGTCCAAGAATGAACTTTCGAATAATAATTTAACTCTTTCCTCGGTCAAATCTTTTCTAAATTCTGCATAAAGTTTTGCATAATTCTTGATCGCATTCAACCATTGTTTCGAAATCAATGTGCAATTATTCAAAATAAACCACGTATCGTCAATGTATGAAATAATCTCTCCACAAACATCACTCACAAATTGGTCTATAATTCGAAACCATCCGATAAATATAATATAATAATATCGATGATTTTGATCACCTACCACCTGATGCCACTATTTCACCTTTAATCATTTTTTTATTATTATTATTTTAAATATTTTAAATATTATTTACAACATAATTAAACACTAACATGTTACAACAACATTCCGAAGATATGAAATTAATTGATTGAAAATTAATTTTTATTAAATATTATCATTTGATTATAATTTCTGCAGAAGAAGAAATTCTTTAAAAAATGTTTCATCATTACATTCCAGCTGCCTCTCTTCTTCTTTCGGGTATTGTCCACTTGTTGCCACTATCTGGCCTTCTAGGATCAAGGCAATTAGAGAAATTATATGGAATTCCAATCAATGAGGAGAATCTTGAAATTTTAATGAGACATAGAGCTGTACTATTTGGATTACTTGGAACTTTTCATTGTTATGGAGCATTTAGACCAGAATTGTATGGATTGGCATTTGGATCTGGTATTGTTAGTGTGGCATCCTTTATTTGGTTGAGTAGATTATCAAAAAAACAGTCAATGGTAAATAGACAGATTGTAAGAGTTTGTAATGTTGATATTGTTGTGTTGATGGCATTGTCTCTTGGAATGATTACCTCAATATATTTCAATGAATAACTAAGCAAATAAGCAGAATTCTCTAGAATAATCTGATAATCGTTAATCAATGATACTATTATTATTGATTATTGTTAAATTCTTCATTGAATAAATGGATTTCTTAATTTCTTCATTAAATTCTCTAAAACTAATATCGAGAATTGTAAGATTTTCTAGTTTAGTAGTGATTGATTCGGCTCCCTTATCACCAATATTATTACTATGAATATTGAGTGAAGTCAATTGGGTAAGCTTGCTTATTTCTAGAGCACCTTCCATTCCAATATTACAGTCTTGCAAGACTAGCGTTTTTAATTGAGCCATTCCACTAAGAACTTTGGCTCCTTCATGTCGAATATTGCATGAAGAAACATCCAGGTCAGTCAATTGTTTCAATTTAGAGAGGTATTTCAATCCTTCAGCAGTAACTTTTGTAATGATCAATCACTTTTTAATTTGATGTTATTGGAAATGAATTTAAACCCCTTGTGTGAATTAATTAATCAATATGTTATTTTGACAATGTTTTCCTAATAAATTATTTATAAGAATGAAAATATAATCATGTTGCAAAGTCAACCAACACACTAGACATTAAAATGTAATTTCATATAACCACACTTCCTTTCGTATTTTTCATAATTGCATATATCCATTCACAAAGTTCATCCTCCCCACAACCATAACCTTCAAATTCATATTTAAACCACATCAGGGGATGAACTTGGTCAATCAAGAATCAACAAAAAAAACAAATTAAAAAAAAAAACAATGTCCTCCTCCAAACAATCAGATAATAACACTATTGAAACTCGTCAATATGAAATTGATGATAGCATAACTTGTCTTCAATTTGATCTCATTTCGAATATTCAGAGGAAGGAAAAGCAAATTGTAATTGCGTTGGATGTTTCTGGATCGATGCGTGGTCAAGGAATTGATCAAGCAAAGATTGCAATTTCGAATTTATTTGAACAAGTTGTCGATACACCAGATGTTGTATTGATTACCTATGATACCTCTGCAGAGTTGTATGATTTGAGGAAGAAACCAGCCGAAACTAGACAATCAACTCTTGAACAGATTCAAGCTGGTGGAGGAACTGATTTTACCTGTGTATTTGAGGCCATTTCAAATTTAGACATGTTTAATCGTCAATCTGAGGTTGCAATCTTGTTTTTCACCGATGGACAAGATGGATCCAGTCATAAGAGAGAAAAAGCCATTGAACAGATGAAGAAAGTTCTCGAAACTAAAACTCAAAGTTTCGAATTTCACACCATTGGTTTCACCTCTAGTCACGATGTTGCATTATTGACCCAAATTACTCAATTGGGTTCAGTTCAAGGAACTTTCCAATATGTGAAAGATGCCAATGAAATTAATCAATCGATGGAAAATCTCATTGGATTATTGACCTCTAATTCAAGTGTTGGAATCTTGTCAATAAGGATGATG